ACTGGCACTCTGCTGAAGCTTTAACACAAAGACAATGCACTCACATGATTTATTTCCCAGTTTTGTCTGCCGGCAGTTTTTCTAATTATAAAGCACACCTTAAAATATGGTGTGAGCTTTGCTGACTGGAAGGATATAAACAAAGCTTGTCTTTCACATGCTGGCTGAAAGAACTGCATTTGCTCACTCTGCCTGTCTCAAAAAGGACTTACTACTTATAATGCAAGTTTTAAACAAGCAAGCTTTTGAAGGCCCAGCATGGGAAAGTGTAATTCATCCCTAATAAGAGCTCTTCACCTCTCCTCACCTGGTAAATGGTAATCTTCTAGATGTCTAGAGGGGCATACCAATAAACCCAGACAGCTGACCTCTTGTTTCTCTATTCAAATAAGAAATTAACACATATCACAAGCAGAAAAAAATACAGAGAAAAAAAACAATAAAAACTTCTTAAGACACTCAGCATCACTAAGTCGTGCTCAGTTTAAGAACTAGAATGCAACTTGGTTATCTGCATCATACAGCAAGTGCTTTAGCTAGAAACTACTCCCAAAGGTGTTGTTGAACTTTACTGTTTTATACTTTTTCTTAAATAGATTTCTTCACAGATATTACCAGAATTTTTATTTTTTTGGCACAGCTCAGTGATCTGTAAATATATACAGCTAAGGTGCAGCCGAAAATAGGCAGCTGCTTTAAGGAAGGAGAAATAATAAAGCTTTTATTTTAAAGCTCAGATCATCAACCTGGACAGCACAGCTTAACTTCAAGAACTCAGATAAGGACCTTTATAAATTAAAACAGAAACAGGTGACAGATCTCCCACTTATTATGACTTATCTGGTAAGGAGTAAAAAACGGATGGTATCTCAGTACAACATGGGCATGTTTTATATGCACAGCAACAGAGCAAGCTCTGTATTGCACTTGTTGAAAAACAGCTGCAGAAGTCTTCAGTTTGAATCAATCCACTGAATGGATAACTATTTACTAACAGACGCATTGGAGACTCTCTCACAACTCAGTCACTTGCAAGTTCTCCTGCCTCAGGTCTATCCAGCTCCACTTCTTTGTCCCCAGCCCAGGACCCCCAGCATAACCTACAAAAGCAAACAGAGCACTTCCTTCATGAATGTTACCCTTCTCCTCAGTCCTGGCAGCTGTCATAAACAATCTTCTTGCCTTCAAAATCCCCACATGCTATAATACATGAGGAAAAGTGTTAAGGTTGCTGTGAAAGAGCCACGCAAACTGTTCAAAAAGAAAACAAAACCAACAACAAAACCTCACGACACACACGGATTACATTCAGTGATGCTAACCTGAAGTCATTTCCTCTTACTCACTTCCTAAAATAAAACTCCTCCTTTCACATGCTCTTTCAGCTATTTCCCACCAGTTTCATTTCCTAAGTATTTCAAACAGGCAGATCCTTTCTTACTGCTCCAACTATCAGCATTTCTTGAACTGAAAGACACTGCTCTCCAACACTCCATATAACATTAATGTCTCCTAGCCTAAGAACACCACAATTATCAATAATTACGGGATGTGCAGCACGAACTACCTGACCCTTCTCAGAATTTAAATCAACCACAAAAGACAAAAGGAAGTTCAAAGACCACGCGGGAAGCCTCTTTTCCAAAACCTGAGCTAATCTGCTTCAAAGAGCTGGATGGAAAGAGCCACAGTGAGCGTTTGGGCTACAAACTCCTGGAAGATCTGGGTCTCTCCTGAAGCTCTGGTCCACTCCTGAAGATCTGGGTGGCATCGAGGAGCACACAGCCCTCCCTCCTCATCCCAAAGAAGTGAAGGCTGAGCTGCCCAAGTCAGAACCCCAGGGATAGAGGAGACAAGAGGATGGACGGTCCCTATGAGATGTTCCTGCAGCTCCCGCACAGCCCGGGGGGGAGGGGAGGTGGAAATACGACCCTTCCCACCCCTTCGCTGAAACAACGAGGGGAACCCAAACCCCACATCGTGGTGAGGAGGAGAGAGGTTGCAACGGGAGCATTATAGGAGCAGGGATGGAAGGAGGAATGGGGGAGGGGAGCCCCCTAAAACAGCGGGGATGAAGGTCCCACTTCAGGGCTCCCCTTCACCTCAGAGCCCCCCCAGGTCCAGCTCCTCCCAACCCCCTCAACCCCTCAGACCCCCCAGCCCTCCCATACCGGCGCCGCCCCCTTACGTGTTGTCCTGGTTGAAGTTAGCGAAGAGCAGATGGCCGCTACCGGCGTCACCGCTCTGCCCGGCCAAGTTCATGGCGGGACGGCCCTCAACCACCCCCGTCCGGCGGGGGGACGCCTCCAAAAGGCAGCGCAGCTCAAGCCCGGCTGCCCCGGTCCGCTCCGCACGCCCGCGGCCTCCTCATCGCCGCCAGCGCCTTGTTTACGCTGCGGGCGGCACAGAGGCCCCGCGCAGGCGCCGCCCCGCCCCCGCCCCATGGTTGCGCATGCGCTCATCCGCGCCGCCCGCCCTCGCGGCCACCGTCCCGCCACCGCGCATGCGCCCGCCTCCCAGCGTGGGAGGAGCTGCGCATGCGCTTTGATGGTGGCGCCGAACTCGGTTGGGTGAAGGGAGGGGGAACGGGGGGTGTTGTGCTGTTGTAAAGCGTAGCGGGGAGCGGAAGGGCCGGCGAATGGATGGGAGACTGCTGGTTGGAGGTGGCGGTGTCCGCGCGGTCACGTGACTGTCATTGCGCCGCAGGGTGCGGGCGGCGCTGCCCGAGCCCTGCAGTTCCGCTCCGTGCCGCGAGAGGTCCTCAGCGCTCAGCTGTGGGACAGAGCGCTGAGCGGGGGGGGGGGCTGGCAGCGGAATGGGGTTA